TTAAGGTTATTGTGGATTAAATTTATTTATGAGGCATTTAATCTGAGTATATAATTTAATACCAGAGGCCTTGAGTTGACCTGAAATTGAGGGCCTTACTGATGTGAGAAATCACAACTGATGATGGGAATAAGCTTAATTTGATATTTGGAGCCTTTTGGGAGTTTGATTAAAAATCTGAGTCGAACGGATAAATTTAAATATAATTAATTGGGCTCTAGTGGAAGGCAAATTAGGTTAATTAAATTATGTGGGACTTATGATTAGTCATGATTTTATGTTGTTGATGTGGAATTGCATGTTTAAGGATGTGCATATTAAGGATTTGAAGTTGTATCTGTCGGTTATAAGAAAATCTGTTAAAATTGTGACCTTTGAACTGAAAATTAAAAGCCTTAAAGGCGCGATAAACCAAAACCGACCACATATTTGTGAACAGCATGATTTTTAGAGCCTAGTATTAAGTTTTGTAAAAATCTGATTCAAAATAAATTAAATTGATTTTATTAATAATTTATATTATATATATATATATATATATATATTTGCTCAACCTCATTTTGGAGACACTACAAGAAAATAAATTTTTGGCGACCACTTTTGCCGACTAATAACATTTTGGTCGCCAAAAGTTGTGGAGTTGGTGACATAAATTATGTTAGTCGGCAAAAGTACAGTATTTAGCTACTAAATTTTTTTAGTCGGGATATATTGATTGTTGGCGACTAAAAAAAAATTTAGTCGCTAAAAATTCCACAATTGGCGACTAACAAAAAATTTATTCACTAAATTTTTCACAATTGGCGACTAAAACATATGTTAGTTGCTGTATAGTTAGTTTTGGTTACTAAAATTATTTAGTCGTTGAATGAAAAACAAAAAATTATCTTTAGCCTTTGGCGACCAAAAGTTTGGTCGCCAAATATTTATTTTCAGCCACTAAAACATATTTTAGTCGTTGTATAGTTAGTTTTGCCTACTAAAATTATTTAGTCGCTGAATGAAAAACAAAAATTTACTTTTTATCTTTGGCGATCAAAAGTTTGGTCGCCAAATATTTATTTTTAGCAACTAAAGCATATTTTAGTCGTTGTATAGTTAGTTTTGCCTACTAAAATTATTTAGTCTCCGAATGAAAAATAAAAATTTACTTTTTATCTTTGGCGACCAAAAGTTTGGTCGCCAAATATTTATTTTCAGCGACTAAAACATATTTTAGTCGTTGTATAGTTAGTTTTGCCTACTAAAGTTATTTAGTCGTCGAATGAAAAACAAAATTTACTTTTTATCTTTGGCGACCAAAAGTTTGGTCGCCAAATATTTATTTTTAGCGACTAAAACATATTTTAGTCGTTGTATAGTTAGTTTTGCCTACTAAAATTATTTAGTCGCCGAATGAAAAAACAAAAATTTAGTTTTTATCTTTGGCGACCAAAAGTTTGGTCGCCAAATATTTATTTTTAGCGACTAAAATATGTTTTAGTCGCTGTATAGTTAGTTTTGCCTACTAAAATTATTTAGTCGCCGAATGAAAAAACAAAAATTTAGTTTTTATCTTTGGCGACCAAAAGTTTGGTCGCCAAATATTTATTTTCAGTGACTAAAACATATTTTAGTCGTTGTATAGTTAGTTTTGCCTACTAAAATTATTTAATCGCCGAATGAAAAACAAAAATTTACTTTTTATCTTTGGCGACCAAAAGTTTGGTCGCAAAATATTTATTTTTAGCGACTAAAACATATTTTAGTCGTTGTATAGTTAGTTTTGCCTACTAAAATTATTTAGTCACCGAATCAAAAACAATAGCGACCAAACGTTCGGTTGCCAAATATTTATTTTTTGCGACTAAAACAATTTTTAGTCGCCAAAGAACTAAAATATTTGGAGGGAGACATTTCAAATTTTGGAGAGATTTATAAAACATATTTAACGGCTAAAAAATATTTTAGTTGCCAATAACCACATATATTCTTCTTTCCTCATTTTTTGGTCCTAAATTGAATTTGTTTATCTGAAGGAGCTCTCTCTTCCCCATTTGTGGGTCATCGATCTCAATCCCTCAAGCCGCTCTGTATGTCTTTGCCACCATCACCGACACCATCGGCAGTCTTTGCCTAACAGCTAGGCTAGTAAGAAGAAAAGAAGCATTTATCTATCACTTGAGAATCGATTAAGGCATGAAGATCTTCCTCCACTGATAAAAATCGTATCGATCTTGGTTGAGAAATCAACCTCGGAGTTGAAAGGGATGGTGTGGCCAAAAGTGAGAACTCCTTCAATCCATTTATCCATCACCCTGCTTTGTCGAAGCCATCCTTCTATATCTCCTACAGACCCAACCCATTGAAGAAAGTATTCATACCTAGATCTCGATTAGCACATATGACTGTAAGCCTTGTGGTGGTGATACTAGAGAACAACTCATCAATAGCTATAGGCTAGGGCTAGGGCTCCACATTGATTGAGCTGCCATCGGTTTGACTAATTGATGGTGGGTCCACCGTAGTTCTATAGAAACAAGCCGACCACGCTTGATCTTCTTAGGCTGGGGATTAGAGCTGGTGGAGCCTCCACTGCTGGCTTTTCGGCTTTGTTTACTTCCATTGGAGATGGACTTGATGTTGCGGCAACCAGGGGCGAAGCCAGGAAATTAAGTTAGAGGGGGCAGTTATTAATTATAATTTGTTATTTAAAAAAAATCATTATGAGCTAAATTAAGATAAGAATAATTTTATGAGCTAAGTTTAAGCATAACAAATTAAAAATCATTATTAATAGGAACAAATCAAAATTCTATAATAGTGTGTAATACATCGGTGCGGGATGGTAATATAAGTTTGTAATTTTGGCACAAAAAATTACCAGGCTTCAAAATTCCTATTTTTAGAAAATAAAAACACATCATTTATAACTCAAATGATTATAAAATCTATTTAATTTTTATTTGACAAAAAATATTAAAGAGATCTTATTGGTTATAAATGATGTGTTTTAAACGGAAATTATTACATAGTCTTCGAGTATCATATGGCGTTGCCTATGTGATGCTCAAAATATGAGAAATCATAAATTACACTAAATAGTTTCTCAACTACCTCAAAATAATGAGTTACTTATATTCAATCCACAAGATTTCGTATTATGTTATCGGTTTAAACTACTATGTAAATACATTTTGTATATGCCCACACAACAAAAACAAAAAAATTTCAAAATTGGAAACATCTGAAAAAAAATGACTTCATAACATTGAAAACATCTGTAAAATTGTAAAATTTTTAGCGACCAAAATTTGGTCGCAGATGTTAAAACGACCCGTTTTAATGTTATTTAAGTAAATTTTATGATATTTTTTTTCATGATGCTTAATATTGCTCTTGTAGGGAAAAAATTGCCCTATATCAGCCGAGTGAATTTTTTCAAACTCTTTATAAGTCACTCCCGCGCACCACTCCTCATACACACCTCATCATCGATTCTCCTGCTCGATTGTAGTCAACAAAGTCGCTCCTCCTCCGTCATCACAGTCGCCTGTGTTGCTTTTTCGACCAAGCATCAGCGGCGCTTTGAGAAGTACTTGGGCCTTCATTGTTAGGTAAGTTTTCTCTCTCTCTCTCTCTCTCTCACAATCTTTGTATTTGTGTTCTATTACTCTTTTTACTCACATGGTTGCTCTCTCTTTTCGCACCTAACAGCACCACCATCACCATTTTTCTGCTACTACCAGTTCGCCTATCTTCAAACAACCCTGAGATCAGGTATGGGTCCTCTCTCTCTGTCGCTCAATTTCTCTATTATCCTTTGTTTTCCCTAATTTTCAAAATCAATTTTGAAAATTTTCCCTAATTTTCAAAACCTTAATGAGTGAATGTTTGAAGGGATGGCCTCAAATCATACTCTCCAGACAATGAAAAAAATAAAAACTGATATATATATATATATATATATTGTTGTTTGTTTTGTGTGGATGATGGCAAAGTTGTAACCATCCAAAGGAGAATTTTGGTTGGATGCGTGCTTTAAATTTTGCTTGGGGGCAATTAGATATGGGGTATGGGGAAAGTTGAAGGAGACATTGTTGATGGACCAGCGTCTGTGTCCATTGATGGTATTGTTAGTGTTGAGCATCACAATTACTCTGTCTGGTGTTTGGAGAAGAGGTAGGATGTAACCTTGTTGAGCCTTGATCTTTACGCTTTGATTCACCTTGGCTTCCACATCGTTCCAAAGAGGGTCGGTGGGTGGAATTGTTGGGGGAGATCTTTTAGAATGGTTAGGGTAGTAATTGAGAATGGCTAAACCATTTGGAGTTGTGCTATTCTGGCTAACCACTTTTGAACTTGCCCAGTAATTTCTTAAATGGTCTTGATCGGCTTTTATTGAAACAGAGTATTAAGAATATAATCCGATTTTTCAGATTTAATCAGCAAAAGAATATTAAGAATATAATCTGACGTTCTCCGTCCTTCCTGGCTAAAATGCTTCCATTTGTCATTTAATTCTCCTGTATTCTTGTTCAATATCATGGGATTTTATTGAACCTAACTTCTGTGTATTAGAACCTGTTGTTGAATAAGGGATTGAGATATCCTTGAATGGTTGTTGACTAGCTGATTCTATTAATAGTTTTTATGCTTTTGTGTACAACAAATGGAAGCGGTTCTTCTCTCAAATTTTCATAAACAGTGTGCCTCTTCTAATTTGATAGTTTCTTAGTTTCTTTTCCCCGTGGTAAGCAATAAATTAGATTTTGACATTAACTTTTATAAATGTTATAATTTCTCATTCCAATTGGACCAGAAAAGGGTGAAAAGAAACCTTGAAAACATTGTTTGACATCTGAGGCAGTAACTTGATGGAATCTGTGGCTTGTAATTGACACTTCCAAATTTCAAACTATTAGACCTCTTCCTATTTTTTATTGTTAGAGGTCTTGGTGCATGAATTCTCTCTCTCTTTCTCTCTCTCTCTCTCTCTCTCTCTCAAAGCATCATCTTATTATATATACTCGCAGGAGTTCATTAGCTCGCAATGAGGAGGCTAGTGGAACTAGTAATTCCAGTGGAGATACAGTCAGATGTTTTGAAGGAATAAGTGGGTAGAGAAGTGCACGTAACCGCACAAAGAAAATAAATGTTCCCTTGTCCAATGAGACACATTGTGTCCAATGAGACACACGTAACTACACAATGAAAATAAATGTTCCCTTGTTCATGGTCCGAGCATTTTGGACCCCGTTATTGAAATTGATGAATTCTCTCCTGAAATGAGACACATTGGGTCCCACAATATAGGTAGTGGTAGTGATGATAACTCAGATGCTAGTGCTAGACAAGTTGAAGCAGATGAGATGTTGGCTCGTGAGCTTCAAGAACAATTATATAATGAGGCACTGGGAGTTGGAGATGGTGAAGTTTGTTCCTTTGCTCTACTTCTATTTTTTTTTTAATTAACTTGTGGCTAGATCCTTTATTACTCTTTATTTTTTCTTTTATTTTTTTGAATAATTATTTACCTATCAATAGATTGATACAGACATAGCATTGGCATAGCAACAAGAGGACAATGTGTTTTCTAGTGGAAGTCACCCTGTTTTCAATCCTGTAAGTAAGGATCTTTATATTTTATAGTAGTAACAGTTGTACATAGTAAGTAGGGATCTTTATATTTCAATCCTGTTTTCAAATCGATGAATGTGATACAATTGGTAATTTTCTTCTTTATGTAGTAACAGTTGTACACAAGTATTATAATTAGTTCTATGATTTAGCTAATGCATTATATGATTTTAGTTTATGAGCTTATTTCAATTCATATATTATGCATGAATAGTGTAGATTTTGAGGTGAAAGATTTTTATTTATGTTGCATCATTGAGTTACTTTACCACAGGTCCATGTTTGAGGACATGGCCACCAATTGTTTGGTTAAATTTCTCAATGCCTATTATCATGTTAAGCTATCCTAAGATTTTTATTTATGTTGCATCTTTGAGTTACTTTACCACAGGTCCATGTTTGAGAACATGGCCACCAATTGTTTGGTCAAATTTCTCAATGCCTATTATCATGTCAAACTATCCTAAGATTTTTATTTATGTTGCATCTTTGAGTTACTTTACCACAGGTCCATGTTTGAGGACATGGCCAACAATTGTTTGGTTAAATTTCTCAATGCCTATTATCATGTTAAATTTCTCAATGCCTATTACCACAGGTCTATGTTTGAGTTACTTTAGCACAGGTCCATAAGTTTCTCTGGCATGTTCTATTATTACATTAAGTTTCTTAACTCCATGCTTGCCTTTTGGAGTCAAGATTGCCCTTCAAAATATCCACCACATGCACTGTACATAGATGGAGTTAAAACCGAAATATGTTAAATAAGTTTATTGATAAATGCTAATAAATCTAGTGATTGTTTTGGTTGATTTTTGTTGGATGGATATTGGTATTAGCTCTTTGCCTTTCCAAGGATATCCACCACTTTATACATCACCTTGAAATCAGATTGCTTTCTCATAGTGTAAACTAACCTCCATCTCTTTGTGTTCCGCTTGCATATGTTGTTTAGGATACTGTTGAGATAGCCTCTGTTATCCATGCTATCTACCGTAGTTAATTTCTACTAGTTAATTTACATGTTCAATGCAATTGTTGGTTGCTTCTTCATGTGGCTGTACTAATTATTTTAATAATTATTTGATGATCATAATGAATATAAAAAATCATATATCACTCTATTGCAGAGCTTGAGAACACCCCAAATAATAAAAGATTTCCAATATGCTGCCACATTTCATGATCTCAACAAAATAGGAGTCCCCGTTTGGCTTGGGCTTAAAAAGCTGTTTTTTTTTTTTTTTTCCCTGCTTGGCTTGGGATTAAAAAGCTGTTTTTTGACTAAATAAGCCAAAAAGCAAAAACGCTGAACTCCACCCAAGTGTGGAAATGTTCAAATGTGTTTGGGTTAATTCAGGTATTTGCTGATAGTGCATTAGTGGAGATGACATTGTTGTCTAACTGGCCTTAATGATTTTCTCATGAGTAATGATGATTGTTTCGTTGTTTGTTTCCTTTTATATATATTTTTTTTCTACATTTGTTGGTGATTTATGCCGATATTTATATTATTTCTCTGGTTTTACTTGTTGAGTTTGGCACCTTATCAACCTTGGGGTCAATGTCAGCATAGAATTGGGTCATAGGATATCAGTCCCAGTCTTCTTAAAATCTTCAATGAATCACTGATTGCTTTTTATGGGTAGGTCTTTGCTCTTCAATCTTCTTCCCTCTCTCAGTTTTTCCATTTATTTTAACTCGGATCGCCTCTTTGATGGTTCAAAATGATTCGTCTCTCTCTCTCTATATAACAATACACATTGAGTAGCATTGCAGCACATATATATATATATATATATAAATATATTTGTGAAGGAAGTTGCAATCATCCCATGGAATGCTGCATTAAAAGTCTCCTCTCATATATTAATTTATTATGTCCTTAATGTGAGCAGCAGCATTAATGTTTTTTTAACTTATTATTTATGTTTCAAGTAATTCTATGCTTGTTTTTTTGTTTTTTGGATTGTCAAACTAATGGCATTCATGTTTTCTCAGCTCCTCTCCATCAGATGCAGTAGTATTATAGGCGGCTTTGTGTCCCTGATAACTGTTCCAGAAAATGGAATGATGTTGTTCATTGCTTAACTTTGGAGGCAAAACAAACTTTTGTAGTGGAGGTATGTCCTTAAACCTAAATTACTAGTAGGAATGCTAGTAACAACCTCAGTACGTGGGTTCTAAAATCAGTGTTCGCATAGAATAAGGCTTGAAGCTATTTTTTGGTTTGTACTTGTACTTTGGGATAATTGATGGTCCACTGTCAAATACCTTCTTGATGATCTATTACATGTTCTGCTGGTCTAAATTCAAAGTTGCTATGATCCTTTATTTACTTTAAAAGAACAATTTTTTTTTAATATATGTCTGCTTTGTTCATATGTTTGAAAAAATATTTGTTAAATTTTTTGATAGATATAAGATTCAAACCCCCAACTACACAAATCCCTCTCATATGCCATGTTAGTGTCACCCCTCCGCCGCAACAACCAAATTCTTGTAGATGATACTAGAGTAATAGATTACAAACCCTGATTATGGTCACTTCCTAAAACAGGATAGGGTGACCATGATTATTAATTTATTTATTAACTAAAGTTTGCTTGGACATTTTTTGCCTTGTTCCGGTGTAACACCAAATTAAATGAAATTTCTACCTTTACTTTCTTGTTCATGTTACCTTTACTTTCCATGGAACTTTTTATTTTGTTGTCCAATTTTACAATCATTTGATGTGCAAATATTTTCATAGAAACATTACCTGACATTTTTTTATCTTTTTCTTCTATACAGATGGACGAACTCGTGCAACAAGCTGAATTGTACAGGATTAGTTGGCACTTGTTACATTTTTTCAAGGATTATATATTTTTGGATAGATGTGTATGAAAAATATTTGGGTAGACTAGTAATTATATTTTCGGATAGATGGGAATGGATAAAAATTTAAAACATAATAACAAGTCATGTTTTAAATTTTTATGCTAGATGGATGTGAATCGGAATTTTAATTGGAGAAATATGTACTTTGGAATTACTTGTGGATGGAAACTTATAATAATTGCTGACTTTTATTAAACAGGTTCAGGACTGGATGATTTTTGTATTTCATTGAATGTTCATGATTCAGATACTTTGTTGGTATGACTGATTTTTTTTAATTACAGATTATATTGAATGGATTGGATGAAATATTTGTCTTCAATTACAGGTTTATTTTATTAGATGTTGGCAACCAAATTATGGTTTTGTCGGCCAAAATGTTGGTAGGCAAAAGGGTACATTTGGTGACTAAATAATTAGTCGGTAAAATTGTTGATTTTGGCAACCAAAGAGTTTGGTCACAAATAGGTCTATTGTCGACTAAACTTTTAGTCGCGCAAACATTACTTTTGGTGACTAACATGTTTGGTCAAGTAATGCGACTTTTAGCGACTAATCTATGGGCTGTGGATTGTGACTTTTGGCAACTAACATGTTTGGTCGTGGAATGTGATAATTAGCGACTAACATGTTTGGTTGTGGAATGTGACAATTGGCGACTAACATGTTTGGTCGGGAATATGTCACTTTTCAAACTAAAGTGTTTTAGCGACTAAATGGCTTAGTCGCAATAATGATATATTTAGCGACCAAAAATTTAGTCGGTAAATCCAACTTTTTCCCCACTAAAAAAAGTTTTGGTCGCTAATTACTTTTGCCAACCCTTAATTGGCGACCAAAGTGGCGACCAAAAAAATTGGCCACGGATAACTTTTGCTGACTAAAAATAGACGTTTACCGATCAATTTTTTAGTCGAAAAAGTGCGATTTCTTGTAGTGAGATAAAGATATTTTGAAAGAAAGAAAGAGAGAGTTCTAGAGGCTTAAGAGAGAAACGGAGGAAGAAGAAAGAACGGAGAAAAAGAAGAGAAAGGAAGAAGATTAACCGTGAAAGCTCGGGAAAATTGGAGAGGTTCAAGGGGAAAAGTAAGGATTTGAGTTAAGGTATGTGGCTTTAATTATTATCTTTGTAGACAACTCATCTACCACATGAAATCAGGGATTAAATTGGAGATTTAATATGTAAATGAACTAGGGTTTTGGGTTATGAATGAAATGGATTGAATTCAAGAAATTGAACCTTGATTTCCTTAAATTTGTCAGATTCGAGTTCAATCTTAAGAATGATTCATGGAATAACAAGATTTGGTGTGAGAATCAACCATGTGTAAGATGTACTTACATGATTTTGGACATATATTATGAAATCTTGAATATATGGAAAAGATGAGACTTTGATTTCTAACTTTAAGCAAGATTGATGTATCTAAGATGAAATTACACTTGAGTGATGTTAGTTTATCATGTTGTGGGGTAGTTTTACATGTTTTTGAGTGATTAGAGTTGAAACCTAGCTTAGAAAATGGAAAAACAAGTGATAGAACCAACAGAGATTTTCGGACAACAGTTTTTGCCCAAAGCCGCACATGCGATAGGGCTTCCCGTACTTGCAGAAGCCTTCTTCCAGCAACATTTTTGATTTTGAAATAAAAGCACGTGCCCTGACTTTCCTACACGTGTAGTTTTGGTCCTGCATGTGCGGAATACCTTGTTTCAACTCAACTTCAAATAAACATATCTCTCTCATCTGGACTCCATTTTAAGTAATTCATGAACCGAAATTTAAGCCCCGGAAGTGTAGTTTTAAATGGTGGTGGTCTCACATTCAAATGCTAATTATAAAAATAGATATGCTCAAATTAGTGAAGGTTGTTCACTTTTTGTCTACCGATTTCATGTTATTTCTTCTTCGAACCCAGTTTCCTTTCGTTTCCTCCTATCTTCCTAGACACAGATTATGACCTATTGAGGACTAATGAGTTTAGAACCAACATAACTAATTGATTAGAGAGCAAAGAAAGGGATCAGTTATATTCATATGTTGTGTTATGTAATCGTGGTTGTAGGTCAAAACGAGGACATCGTCCAACTGCTATCAGAAGCCTATCACTGTGAGTAATAGTATAGTAAAGATATTTTTTTTCATTATCTATTTTGATTTATGATTTATGTACGATACGATTCTCTAAATATCGTATTTTGTCAAAATGCACAAGTTTCCAAGAAATGTGAAATGAGTTATGAACAAGAAATGTAAATTGTTTGTAATATGATATAGTGGGCCCAAGGCCATTCCGTTTATCCGTTCTGCTTATGCTATGACATAATATGAATTGTTCAATTTTTAAGATTTATTGACTTTGGTATAGAACAAAGTGCTGTACAGAACTAAGTGCTACAGTGAGAGTCGCCTCTAGAATCCGAATGAGACACCTCTTGGGTCCATACATACATGAATGGGGCCCAAGGAGAGGTGGAGACATGTCAATGTTCCATCTACTCCATGACAAGATACAATGATACAATATGATACATTTCGACCTAAGGTCGTTTGATATATGATTGGGCCCGAGGTCGTTTTGTTATACGTGGACCCGAAGTCATTCAGAAAATATGATATAAATATGAATATTTTTACATCGTTATATGAGTCATGTTTAGGAAATGTTATTTGATATTCATGAATGGATGTCCTATTTTGAAATGAGATTCTAACCTTTTGTATAAGTGGGCGTATCACGTACCACGCAAAATGTTTTGTGATGGGTTCCGATATGTAATCCATTGAAAAAGCATGGATTTTGATATGATAAATGTTTGATTTAACATGATTTAAGATACATTTCAGAATTTTGAAATATGTTTCTTAATGTTAAGGACATCATTCATTAACCTCTTTACTTTAATATTACTTACTGGGCGTTAGCTCACCATTTTATTTTATATATATGTAGGTGAGCCATCGGGGATCAACACTAGAGTTGTTTCAAGGTCCGTCTTTCTGTCAAGCCACCCAGGAAGTGTCTCCGTATAGAGACGTAGTATAATTTACCAAGCTTAGTTTTGTTAAGGCTAGGATGGCTTTTGTTGCGCATTAGGTTCATATGTAAATTTTGGGTTGTGAACTTTTGCTATACCTATATGACTTGGACTGTATATATATGAACTGCGTATGTGACATTTGTATATATGATGTAATGTTTAAGATTCTAGCATTTAAGCACTGCTCAATGGACGTTATGTTATTATTTTTGGTATCTGCTTCCGTTTAAGGCCCCGTATTTGAATAAATATTATTTTGAAGTTTTATTTTGAGGCCTAAGTACAGGCTGGTCATGGACTAAACTTTTAGGGGCGGGTTTGGGTCGTGACACAAGCACACCTTTCTAGAGCTCAAACCAAGCTCAAAAGTACCTCAGCTCAAAGATGAGAAGGTTTGGTTTAGAGTGTATAGGCAAAGGTTAAGAAATTTGTAAGAGAGAGAGAGAGAGAGAGAGAAAATTGTAGAGAGAGAGGAAAAATTTTGCTCCAAAATTTTTCTAACCTCCAAATATGAGAGGAAGGCCCTCTATATATAGAAAACATGAATTCCTCTCATAAACATCCAATCATACACGTGGGAGCAAATGCAAGCATCTATGCAAACAGCTAGCATAACTGTCACAAAATATTTGCAAAAGACATTGGTGGCCGGCAGGCCACATCAGTGGCTGGTGATGGCCGGCAGCCCAAAGATGTGGCCGACAGGCCACCAGAGGTTGCAGGCTTGAAAAGAGGTGCAAGGTTTGAAAGGCTCAAAGTTGTGGCATTCCGCTGAGGACTTTGAGCACTTAACAAGCATATAGACCCATTATTAGGTGTGTAAGCGATGACGTCCAAGTCGTAAGTGCCGTAAAAAATGAGGTGTCTACAGCTACCCGATACGTCATTGGATTAATCTTCTCAAGGATTTCATATAGCCCAACATATCTCGGTGCCAGTTTCCTTTCACACCAAACCGAGTTTGCCCTTTCATTGGAGTCACTTTGAACCCCGACTTCATATTCTCTTCTCTGTCTTTTTTCGAACATCAGCATAACTCTTTTGGCGGCTTTGTGCAATTTTCAATCTTTGTTGAATCAATTTCACATTTTCCATCGTTTCTTGCACAAGTTCTGGTCCCAACAGAGGTCTATCACTTACCTTAGCCCAACAGATCGGGGAATGACATCTTCTACCATGCAGAGCCTCATAAGGAGCCATCCCAATACTTGAGTAATAGTTGTTGTTATACACAAATTCGGCCAATGGTAAGTAGGTCTCCCAATTGACTTGGAAATCTAGGACACACATTTTGAGCATATATTTCAAAGTCTGTATTGTTATTTCTGATTGGCCGTCTATCTGTGTGTGATATGCACTGCTCAGTCTTAACTTAGTTCCCAAAGCTTACTGTTGTCTCTGCCAGAATCTCGAAGTGAACTTAGGATCTCTGTCAGACATAATAGATACTGGCATGCCGTGTAATCTTACAATCTCATTTACATAGATGTTAGCCAATTTATCCGCATTATAAAGGGTTTTAACAAGCAAAAAATGAGTAGACTTAGTTAAACGATCAACAATGACCCAAATAGAATCCACACCTCAAGAGGAGCGAGGCAGTCCAACAATGAAGTCCATTGTGATATGCTCCCATTTCCATTCCGGTATTGGGAGTGGCTAAAGTAGTCCAGCGGGACGTTGATGTTCAGCTTTAACTTGTTGGCAATGCAGACATCTGGATGCAAAATCAGCAATGCTTTTCTTCATTCCTGGCCACTATAAATTTTGTTTCAAGTCATGGTACATCTTTGTATTTCCCAGATGCATAGCAAATTTAGAATTGTGAGCTTCGGTCATTATACGTTTCCTAAAGTCAGAACAATTCCGGTACACAAAGTCTATTCTAAAATTTCAACACATTATTATCAAACACAAATTCCAGCCTCGGTTTTGAGTCGATTTCATCCACAATCTTCTTCACATATTCATCTTGCAACTGTTTCTCTCTAATTTCTTCAATGATCTCAGGTTGGACAGAAATGGTGGCTAGGATCCCACCTTGTTCACGCAACACAATTTCAATCTCATTCATCTCCAAGTCACATAACAACTCTCTCTGTCCGGTAAGCAGACATGACAAATTCCCAATCAATTTTCTACTAAAAATGCATTTGCTACGATATTTGTCTTCCCCGGATGATACATAATTTACAAGTCATAGT